TAGGAAACATTTTACTGGAAACATGGAAACAAATTTTCGCAAATGTACAAAAAAGTGTTTGTTTCCAGCAAATCCAGCAACTTTTTTTTCCATACATTTGCGAAAATGTGTTTCCAGTAAAATGTTTCCTAGTGTGACCGCACCCTAAGCATAAAAATGTATATTTATTACTCATACCCATTCAATAAAATAAAATTAATTAATTATTTGTTTTTACTCAAATCTAATCGGCTAAGCAGAAGAAGCTCTATTTACAATAATTATTTTATTTTATCAATCATAAAGAATTGAATAAAAACAGCCAGTCTTTGGCGGTGTATTATTATTATTATTCATGTCGAGTCTACTGTTAAGTCTAAACCTTAATGATTTCTACAAAAATCTATAGATGGCGTTAGGGTCTAGCATTTGCCTTGTGATAAAAATGGGATTGGCCCAAACCGCCAGTTTATGGTCAGAATGCGAACCATTTTTGTGTTCCTGAAGAGGTAGGAGACAGATACTTCATACAATGTTCTAAAACATTTCAAGATATTCATTTTTGCTTGAGAAACTGGCCTCCTATTTCTCACCAGGAACGTATATATGATTCCCATGTAATTAAGCGCATTTGGCTAATCCCATTTTTATAATCAACAACACATATATATGTACATGATGAGCCTTCATCACAAATTGAACAAAAAAGTACTCTTAATGTAAATTCATATCATCACTGTGCACTCCAACATCACATACACTTAATTCCTTTGGGGCACACGTTTTGCTTTGTTTTTTCATTCCATCTGAACAAACACAAAAGTGGTGTGTTGGGCTAAAGCCGTTTTCGAAAATGATTATTCGTTTATTTAGCGACGTTTCGCTCTTATTAGGAGCATCATCAGGCTGGAGAACAAAAATTTACACAAAAAACAATGAGTGAGTGTTGAAACAATTGACAGCAGCCGAAAATAACCAAATTACGAACCAGTTACATCTGAACTTAAAATGTTTTCGAACGTATTCCATTTTTTTCTATTAATTTCCACATATTGTATCAGCTACACGTGTCCATCAAAGGTATTTTGTTATTGAGCTTCATTTAGTGTCTGAATATAATTACACTATGCAACAACAAGAAACAACCACAGAGAAGGGAACTTATTTACAAGGTTTTTGGGCCCCACTTATTCCAAATCTGGTGTTAGTTTGTCCTGGCACGTCTAGTTTTTAAGATACGTTCATGACGGTTTCCATATCAGATTTGGATTAAGTGGACCAAAAACCTTGGAAATGAGTCACCTCTTTTGGGAGAATTTCGTTTTTGAAATTTGCTGCATAGTATTAGTAGACCTCAATTCATATATTCAATAACTGAAAAATACTACAATTCATCAATTATTGATTGCATGGCACGTGTCAGCTATTAGTAGATGAATGGTATAAAAGAGGCAGCACCGCACGGGGAAGACCAAACGAATTCAAAGGATCTTCTAAAGAAGTACAAGACGGTTCTCTACTATCATTGTGCAACAGGTTAAAACTCTGTTTGGTTGGCAAATTAAAATGAAGCTACTACACGGTATGTTTTCGGTGCTATTTATTGTTGAATTTTCGGTAAGTTCTTTCTATTCCTCTATCATTTTCACTTTTATCCAATAAAATACGATATTTCTGTAGAAATGAAAATTAACACGAAATTTCTTTTTCTAGGAACTTCAAGGAAAACGTAAGACATTTATGGTTTTCGAACTAACTTTTTATGATTCCAAAATATTTTCATACTTTTATAATATTCAAATCGAAATTTCTTCTAAATGAAATTTATATAAATTTTTTTTCTAATGAACAGATGGCTTTTTCTCGCAAGCTCTTCTCAAGGGCGAAGTGATTGAAAACATGTCACAGGCAAAGTTTGTAGCTGGAATCCATGCCCCCGCAAGTAAGTCTGCTTTAGAATCATTTTCTTTTTTCTTCGTGTGAATTTTTGTCCGAAAAATTCAAATATTCTATCAATTTTGCTAGGGGCTGACCACGCTTCAGAAAATTGAAAATAATGCTAGATTTTATAATTTTTTCCAAACAATATATTATTTACAACTGTGATATTTTTCGAACTTTCTCCAGAAACGTTTCACTGTAAATGATAACTTTCAATTGTGCGTTGTCAGTTTACTGTCAGAAAATTCATCACATTGTGGTGGTCAAAAGTATCGTTCATAGTGGATTATAGATAAGGTCAAATATTTGAGTCAACATACAGATGGTATTAAAACTGAATGATAGAAACGAATTTTGTAGATGAAGAATTCGCGGTTTTCCCCTAGCAATTTTGTGTGTGTGTTCATTTTTTCTTCAAATATTATTGCTTTTACTGAGAATGAAACGATTTTATTACAAAATATTTGCATGAATACAAAGACCATCCAAATGATGCCAATAGAAAAAAGATGAGTATGTGTACCGCATTTATTCTGTCGAAAACGGAAATTATCACGAATGCCCATTGTGTGTATGAGGCCCCATATGTTTATGTGGTAGCTGGTACGAAAGTTGTATCAGATGCAAACCAGAAAATTAAAATCAAAGTCGAAAAAGAGAACATTGCATGGCACCCTCATTATAGTCGATTAATTTTTGGTGCATTTGATATTGCCAAAATTACACTGAAAACGCCGTTAGAATTCAGCGATACCGTTGGCAGTATTGAACTCGTTGATAAGGATCACAAATTGAATAACCCATCAGAAGTGGTCACTGTCTATGGATATGGCGTGTTGAACAACACCAGACCATCGATATTGAGGCGTTGCGATGCGAACTATATGTCTGATGTCGAACGAGCCAACACATTTCAGCTAAGTCAGACTTTGTACTTTACCACTGGTGAAGCTACGAATGAAGGCAATATTATTGCACACGGCGATTCGGGTGGACCAGTCATTTCAAAAACAAATGGCAAAATCGTGGGGATAACAAACGGTATAAATAAAAATGGAACAACAGGTGGCCGCGGAACGTTCCTTCCAATTACTCTATTCCTTGATTTTATTCATGACCCAAAGGTATCTATTTATTTATTGTTTATTTGATTCGGTATAAGATTACCATTACATATGCTGCCCAATGGGACAATTCAGTTTTACATTTTTCTTAAACCCAGTTTTTCGTTTTTTCTTACATTTTCGTTACATTATTCTTGTTTGTTAATTATATATTTACCATAATATTCTTTGAAATCTACGTAATCACCTTTGTTGCGAATTTCTCCTAGAATTTCATTCCACAAAGTAGGACTACTTATAAAAAATGAGGTTTTCTGAAAATTACTTTTCGGTTTTTGAACTTTTGGCTTATTTTTAGATCTAGTGTTGTTTATATTTACCGTAATAAGATCACTAAGGTAGGGGGAGCTTCTCCATTTAATATTTTATGTGTCAAATTGGCAACAAGAAGTGTGCGACGATCAAAAAGTTTTAAATGTTTCAATTATTCTCTGTGTGGAGTTATGTGTTCTCTTCTATTTACCGTTAATATGTATCGTATACATATATTTTGGAGCATCTAATCACAATGCCCCAATTTTTATTCTCAACAACGCAAACAAAATCATTTTTGCATTAATTTCAGAGCGTGAAACCAATTCCACCTCCGCTTACACCTAACGAAGCTAAATTTATAGCCGATATAACGGCACCGGCAAGTAAGTGTGCATTCGAAATTCGAACTAAATCAAACCGTTTCTAACGTCACTTTTTTAAATTTTAAATTGAGGAGAGGCAAAAGTGGAGATTTTTCATGATTCATAAACATAAATATTCATTCGGAGATGTTTTTCTATTACAGAATTTCTTACTGCTTACAAAGAAGATTTTACCGATGCTGACGAATATGATCAAGTAAAATTTAATGCAATCATTTTGTCGAAAACGGAGATTTTGACCTGTGCGTATAGTGTGCATGGCGCCCCATATGTCTATGTAATCGTTAATAAACTATCAAAAAATCCGACAAAACTTAAAGTCACTGAAGACCAGATAGAAATTCATGAGAAATACTCATTGTCGGGGTTCGCATTTGACATTGCCAAGATTACACTTGAAGAACCGTTGAAGTTCAACGATAACGTCGGCAGCATCGATTTGGTGGACAAAGATTACAAAATGAATGACCCGTCCGAAATGGTCACTGTCTACGGTGATATGATATTGGGTGAAACAATGAGAACGAGGCGTTATGATACAAAGTATTTGGATGGCGCCATTTGCAAACCGAAATTGAGCGCTGCATTTGATGCAAATCATTTGATGTGTTACACTTTAGATGAAAGCATGGGAACTCCCTTTACGTTTGGAGGTCCAATGATTTCGAAAAAGAATAACAAACTCGTGGGCATTACCATATTTCATTCGGATGGTGAGCCAGTTATTTTTCAACCGATTGCACCGTTGCTTGATTGGATCCGGAAGCCAAATGTAAGACGTAATTGTAATGTTCAATAGCCAAAATGGCAGAGTAACAGCCCAATTTGCAGAGTAACGAAATGAAACGAATCGGTTGACTCTATTTTATGAACTGAACCTTAATGAATGTTTTTACTTGACTTAAATAATGATACATCAGAAAACAATAATGCAAACTTGTCAAAACTCAAATATAACAACATGACACAAATTGTATCATAAGGGGGGCAAAAGTGAATAAAACAACACAATTTTATGTTGGAAAAAATAATAAAAAACCAACAGTTTATTTCTCTGTCTCTGTCAGTACAATCCAATGGTTTCTCTTATACTAACTATGTTACACTCTCTGACAGCGGCTATTAAGCGCTGCTGTCCAGCTCGTATGGTGTTGCCATACGAAACGCAAATAACTATATAGGTCAACAAAATTTATCGTTTATTTTAAAGATTTTTTGTGCTTTGCACATTCTCCCGCGGAACAGAAGGTTGCCCGGGAGATTCTACCAAAGCTTAACTATTATTGAGGTTATCATTAACATTTAACCTAGGCATTGGAACGGGATCGACTTGGTTAGAAACCTGCTTATTCCTAAGCCATTTATAGCAATATGTTAGTACGATGCCTAAGATTAAGATATATGCTAAACCATAATGATGTACGTTGTGATAGCGCGAAGATTGCTTAATTAAATGCATATTCTCGTTGGTTTCATTCATTTTTTTCTGAAGTTGAGTGATTTCAATTGGGTTAACTTGTTTCATAAAAGTCATTCCGGTTAATTTCGACGTTGAAAGCTGGACACTATCAACGTGTGGGATAACAAATTCTTTTTCGTACCCATCGAGATGGGATTTTGTTAACAAATGAACGCTTTCGCTGCCGAGTATACAATCCGGTTTTAAGGACAGTATTCCCTTCCCGCCTAGCGAGCTGTGAAAAACTTTATCTTTACATATTACATTAATCTGGAACGCTTCCGGAATGACAAATAGAAACATGTTACTTTTCAAACTCTCGAGGAAATTTTCTTGCGGACTCTCTGAAACCACACATTTTTCATTGAACACGTGATTTAAAATGCTCCAAACACAATTTGCTCTACTCGAAGTAAACCACTGTGTTGGTTTGCTACAAATTAACGATCTTTGACCCTCGAACGGGATGCAGTTTTTAACATCATCGATCAGTTGAAAGAATTGTCTGTCCGGTGACGTGATTAAAAATTTGTGCTTATTTTGAATAAACCAACATTTTTTGTTTATAATTGTATTGATTTAGTAAGCGTATGGTTGAAATCTTGCCTATCGAATGGACTTTCATGTCACTTGGAACACGGTAATCCGTGCGCACTTGCTTGGAAATGATTTCCACTTGAGCCTCAACCTGTATCGGTGTTAGCAGCTCATGGCTTATGTGATTACGTTTTGAATTTGCAACTGCATTGAAAATTGCCGCTTGTTGGTGCTCGAACTCAGAAATAAGCAATGTAAGATATGACAAAAAACTCTGGACTTTAGATTCTATTTCGAGTGTATTTGTTTTGTTGATTATTGTGTTTGTAAATTCACCAATTGTCGCCATGTGTCTTTGGTGTTCCGCCTTTTCATGCTTGATGAAATTCAATGTAGAATTAAAGATTGACGTGTGATTTTTGAGTAACGCGAGCACATGATCTTCATTTTTTTTGATTAACGACATATCTTCAGCGTAATCTTCCTCGAATTTAGAACCGAGTGTTCCAAATAAATAACCAAAAACGTCACCAATGAAGTGCAGAGTGGGAATTGCACGTTTTGCTCTTTTGTTGTCGAAGATGAGTGAATTTTTTGCTTCCAGAAATTTTATGTTTTGAGTCCAGATGAGCTATTACATTTCTGCAGCCACTATTCAATGGTGCTTTTCGATAACAAATTTCCTTGACCGTTGTAAGATTTGTGCGTATTGAGTTAAATTCAGACCGGAATTTATTCAAATTCAAGTGGACAAGAACGTTCCAATCCTTGTGAGTCATGGACACATCGTGCGATTTCTCGAAATAAAAACCAGGCGCGGAATCGAAATGAGTCACAGCAAACGGTTGTGATGACAGTGGGCTTTGGTGTGAACAAGTAACAAACACAGCTAAAATAGCAGTGATTATTGGTAAAATGTTCGAACCAATTTTCGGTTTACGACGATAAATCCGCGTGATGTTTGCTTTTACATTAGTTGTTACATCAACCGTGGTGTCTCCTTCTTTTGGGAATGCACATAATTTAGCTAGTGGTCGTTTCGTGATTCCACCATTGGTTTTTAGTGAAACCACTCTTGTCAATCCGTCATCGCCCGGGTGTGTTTTTATCACTCGGCCCATTTGCCACTGAGTCGGTAGTAAATTTTCGTCGCGAATTAATACCAGATCATCCAATTCTGGAGCAAATATTCGGACTGCCAGCGTTTCCAGAAGTATTGCATCAATTGTTGCACTCTTTGCCATCTGTTAAGCCAGGTCGCTTTGGCTTCAATATGACATTCTTCTGGAGGCGAAATTAAAGATTGGCCAACGAGAAAATGAGCTGGCGTGAGCGCCATTAGATCGTTTGGATCGGATGAAAGTGGACAAAGTGGTCGTGAATTAACACATGCCTCAATTTGCGCTAATAACGTACTTAACTCCTCAAACGTAAGTTTGTTATCAGCAATTGTTCGCTTCAAATGTAATTTGACGGATTTAACAGCTGATTCTGCTAAACCATTCATATGAGGAGCACCCGGAAGCGAGAAATGCCATTTCGTGCCGCTTTTTTCCAACTCTTTGCAAACCGCCTCGTCGTATTTGTCCTCAAGATCATTCATATTTTTGCTCAAGATTTTGTTCGATTTAACAAAGTTTGTACCGTTGTCGCTGTAAAGATTTTTCACTATACCACGTCTAGTGACAAAGCGACGGTACGCGGCAATAAATGATTCAGCAGTCATGTCCGTAACTACTTCGACATGAATCGCCTTTCGTTGACATGCATACGAAGATAGCAATGTATGCCTTCTTCGTTTTGTATGCACGACCGTTCATCAATTTGACTTGAATCGCACCAGTGTAATCGACAGCTGTGTTAATGAATGGTTTCTCGGAAATATTTACACGTTTTTCTGGCAAGTCAGCCATAAATTGATGCATTGTTTTTGGTGCGGCTTTTAAACAATCAACACACTTGTGGATTATTGCTTTGATTGTGCGTTGGCTATTTAGCACCTAGAATTTTTGTCGCAATACTGCTTCAGTTAGCTTGGGTGCACCATGTAAACAGTTCAAGTGTACGTTTTTTATTATTAATGCTGTTACAGCATGTTTCGATGGCAATAGAATGCTCAATGAATGATGTATCGCTTCGTAGGGTAGGTCAGCGTTTTTCAAGCGACCGCCAACTCGCAATACTTGTTTGCTGTCCAAAAATGGTGACAGTTTCAACAATGCGCTAGCATTTTTGAGTTCACCTTTTGTGCATAACATTTTAATTTCATCGGCGAAGCTTTCTTGTTGCACATTTTTGATAATTGCCGTTTCAGCACATTCGAGCTCGTCAGCTGTTAATATGCCAGTGCGTTTGTTTTTATTACTTTTCCGCAAACTTTGTTTGTATGGAAAAGTATTGGTTTTACTAGCCAAAATTTCATGACACCTCCTGTTTCGGACCGCTATAACGTTACGCCACACTTCAAAAAGCACATATCTGTACACTAGGCAATGTAGATGGGATCAATCCTATCGATCAAGACCTATATACCCCCAAAAACATGTTGTTTACTATGAAATATGTGCAAAATAGCGATGTGCGTATGGCGTCGTTCGCGTTCGCGTCCGAGCTTTTTGTTCGCCGATTATTTCAAAAGGTTAACAAGATAATTGAGATCTGTAAGAGCCAAAAGTTTTGACATGTCGAGACAAAGCTTTGGATTGATTTTGAGCCCATTCTGATTTACCAATTCCGTACCATAAGCCTCCGACTGAGGACCTGAAAAACCTTGAAAAATTACACTTTTGTACGGGAAGTACCCGAAAAAGGCATTTTTGAGGGTTTCGATCAAGGCAAACTGCCATTTTTTTGCAACTGTGAACAACTGAACACCTACTTGCCCATAAATTTGGTCCAAAATCGACATTTCTTGAAATTTTCCTCGAAAAATGGACTTTTGTATGAAAAATCACGCAGAAAGCCATTTTTTTGGGTTTCGGTCAAAGCAAACTGATGTTTTTTTGCAAAAATAATGAGAGCCTTCAAACAACCGAACACCTACTTGCCCATAAATTTGGGCCGAAATCAACATTTCTTGAAATTTTTGAAATTTTGTTCGAAAATGACACTTTTGTATGGAAAATGGTCGAAATAGTTATAATTTAAGGTCAAAAATGCTATGAAAAAAGGGTCCATTGAAATTTTGGTTAAACGTTAAGCAGGAGGTAAACTAAATTGCTGCGGAGCGGAAAAGTTTGGATTACGTATGTAATTCGTTTTATTTTTGGATTTGCTATTGAACGAGAAGCGTTGACAAAGAGCGATTACTCGTTTCAATTTTTCATATGTTGATGACTTGGGCAGCGTAAATTTGTCTTTTTCATCCAATTTGGACACATTAACAGCAGCCTCGAGTACTGGCAATTCGAGTTTTGGTTTATATCGTGGTATAAACTCGGACCGTTCCACCACAATGAGTGTGTGCTTAATTCCGCTGGTGAGATTCCACGCGATGCGCAATCAGCCGCATTGTCTTCGGAACGTACATGTGACCACCAATCTTTTTCAACGAGCTTATTGATTTTTGCAATTCTTGACGCAATAAATGTTTTATATCTTTTTGGATTGGCGTGAATCCAATCGAGAACAATTCTCGAATCGGACCACAAGCAGATTCGACTGAAGTTGATGTCTAAAATTTTAATTATTTTTTCCGCCATTTGTGCCAAGAGTAATGCATCACAAAGTTCAAGACGCGGAATTGTAACATTTTCATTGTTTTTGTCTTCTTCTATTGGAGTCACACGGGCATTTGCAACCAACAAATGCGATGTGTTCCGTGTACGATTGACAATATAAATTGCCGCTGCATATCCGACTTCGGGTGCATCGGAAAATCCGTGCATTTCGATGGTGTCTGACCGACTACAATTCACCCAGCGTGGAATTCGCAAATCGGCGATGAATTTCATTTCTGCTTTAACTTTTTGCCACTCGTCAACAAACTCTTGTTGGAATGTTATCGTCCCACTCGATTTTGCTTTCGTGACGCCATATTTTTTGCAAGATTTGTTTGCCCATGATCACCACTGGGCAAATGTAGCCCGACGGGTCATAGAGCGAGGCAATTTCAGACGTGAGCTGTCGTTTAGTGCGAGGTACAGCATCCAAATCTGACGATACGTTTATTGCGAGCTCGTCGGTGTCTGTCGACCAACAAATACCAAGCGTTTTCGTTATACCGTTAATGGAATTCATTTCCCGCTTTTCTTTCGGAATACGATTAAATAATTCATATGAATTGCTGGACCACTTTCGCAGACGAAATTGGCCAGATTTCATTAAATCGGTCAATTTCTCAGACAGAATTGCTGCTTCTTCGACGCTATCTGTGCCGGATAACACATCGTCCATGTAGCAGTCCTGCCTAAGTACAGGAGACACTATTGGAAATTCATTAGAACCGTCGATCGAGAGTTGCTTTAATGTGCGTGTTGCCGAAAATGGTGCAACTGCAGTACCGTATGTTACGGTGCTGAGTTCGAATTCTTTGATTGGTTGATCCGGTGATTCTCTCCACAAAATTCTTTGGAGGTGAGTTTGAGATTCATCGACGCGAATTTGTCTGTACATTTTTTCTACGTCAGCCGTGAAGGCAATTTTATGGCGACGCCAACGGAGAATTATTGTGATCAGATCATTTTGATCAATGGCACCAATTAGAAAATGTTCATTTAAACTTTTATTATTTGACGTTTTTTGAGATGCGTTAAAGACTACTCTCAATTTTGTAGTAGTACTATCCTTGAACACACAATGATGTGGTAAGTAATGGGCGTCTGGGTGATAATGTACTACTTCACGCATATGACCGGAAATAATATATTCGTTCATAAAATCGCAATATTGGATTTTCAATTCTGGATTATTTGTACAACGGCGTTCGAAAGAGAGCAATGACGCAAGTGCAGCTCTTCTCGAGTCTCCAAGATCAGATTTTTCCAAACCCCCTTTGAATGGTAGCATAACCACATAGCGTCCATCTTCATCGCGTTTGTGTGTTGCTACAAAATGTGATTCACACATTTCTTCTTCTTCATTAGTGCTTCACCATCAACATTATTAAAGTCATCAGATGCGAAAAAACGGCTCATTTGTTGTTCTAATTCAACATTAGAGACAAGTGAAGTGACTTGCATTTGCGTTAGCGATTGTGCCATTGCACCTGACACGATCCAACCAAACTCTGTGTTTTGAGCGATCAAACCCTTGAAAGAATGAGAGAAATTATCTTTATCTCGGTGTTATTTAGCTTCGATTATTCGAATACAAGAGCATTGTGATATACACGCTACTAATTTTTGCCGTCGAGTTGTGTGACAAATCATCAGGCAAATACAACCATACGAATAACAACGTTCAATTTCTCCTCTAAACAAAACGGTTTTTCAGCCAAAAATGAACATTCAATTCAACCAAACACATAGCGCACCAAAGCAACGGGTAGCAGTAGCTCAAAGGTTAGAGCATCTGACGCGAAATCAGAAGACCTGCGGTTCGATTCCCTAGCTGCCTAAAATCTTTTTCCATTAATTTGGAAAAAGAATTCGTTGCTGCGCTATTTGTTCGATTGTATTTGCCTGATGATTTGTCACACAAATCGACGGCAAAAATTAGTAGCGTGTATATCACAATGCTCTTGTATTCGAATAATCGAAGCTAAATAACACCGAGATAAAGATAATTTCTCTCATTCTTTCAACCATACGAATAACAACGTTCCATTTCTCCTCTAAAGATCAAACCCTTGTCTGATTTTATCAGACCCGATTTGATGGCCTGAGCGTACTCACCTACCTGGTATATGAATGGGATCGTGTCTGAGAATACTTTTATCCAGTTTACCATAACCACATACATGACACATGTGCTCCGTTCGTTTCTCCGCTGCATTATTCCGCGGAATCGTTCGTTTGTTTTGCTTTCTCGATCCATCGCGTTTATTTCCATTCTCACTCGATTTCAGTCTCTTGTGATGGCCGTATTGGCTCATCATCTTAATCAACACGAGCATTTGGGTCGTTTCCATGCCAACCGCAATTCGTGGAATATTCTTTTTTTCCTCGCTACTTTTCTCCACACCATGCGAGTCATAATCGAGAATAAAATCATATTCAAGCGTTTCCTTTAATTCAATTTCTGATGTCGCTGTCGACTTCTTCAAGTCTTTCATTCGATCGTGTTACCAAACCAAGTTCAAGTCTATCCAATGTTTCTTCCTTGATTTCGATTACAGCGCTGCTCGTTTTGCATCGTACACGATCCTTCGTCCGCATCCGGATCCATATCCACAACAAATACCACTCTGTCAAACAATTGAAAAAATATGAATATAACATGGACAAACGCTGTTAGTAAGCCTATGTTGCTTACATACTACAATATGTGAACGTGACATACCAACTTAACTCCATTAGAATGGAACGAATTCCAAATGCTCAACACTTCCTGTACCGAACAGAGCCAGCGCGGTATGTTCGGTGTTTGATTTGTGTATGTATGTGCGCGAATCTTAGTGCTTTGCGCTTGTTGAGTGGAACGGATTGAATTGAGTCGACGACAGTCCACGAGAGCGAGAGGT